GTTATTGATAAGGTCGAAGATGCAATAAAGAACCCTAACAGAGAAATATTCTCATTTTTGCAAAGATCATCTCTTGCCTCATTTTTCAATTTAACAATCATAAATACAAAAATTTAGGCTTTAGGGTTTTCTTGGGCTTGACTTTATTTATAATTAAAAAGAAACTCAAAAAAATTAAAATTAATCAAGTATTAAACTAATGGTCTTAGGTTCGAATCTCAACTCCACAAAAAAAAATTATCTTTATTTTAACTCTCCAAGCCCACTACACATGTAACTAACTTAGCCTTATCAGTGAGTTGGGTCTTTGACTGTTGGACCTCCCATGAAAGAGCCACCTTCAGTTGTAAAGCTTCTTGGGTCTTTCTATTCCTTCCTCTAGTCATTGGTCTAATTAAGTCTTTAATTAGATCTTCATCTTTCTTCTCATGGCATTGGACTTTAATGTCCACATCTTTGATTAGAAGCTCCTATAATGAAATCAATTTGATGCTTAATTCCTTTCATAAGTGGTAAACCATCTGGTATACTCACACGAAAAATATCTTGGTAACCCTACAAAAGAGACTATGTAACACACCCCTTTCGAGATGTCACTTGTAAATTTTTTTTTCCACAATTATTTTATCTCAAATAACACTTTATAAAATATTTATCCTAAACCTCTTTATTCGTCAAAATAAAATTTTGATCATCCAAACAACTAACTTAAACCATCAAAATGAGACTTAATATCAAATTTTTCCAATGCAAACTCAAAATCACTACACTATTACATTATATTCAAACGGATATTTTCAAATATCTTAAAAAAACTCCCAAAAAGCTTCTCTGCGAACTCCTACCACTAAGCTTCTCTAACAGTATATGCATGAACATCTACTCCCGCATAACACAAGTCATACGATCATCGCAGGTAGAAACCAACACCACAAACATGCAAGGGTAAGCAAAACATGTATCACATCACATATAGTGCATGTCATCATATAATTCACCTAGCATTATCATAATGTAACAAAACTCATTCATAATATCCACAAATACATATTTTCAACACTACAACAATAATACTTTATCATATTACCACCAAGTAAAAATATACGATATAAAATTCTCTTATAGTCAACCCCCATACTTTTCCTGCACACCAACACCTCTTGGAAAAGTCTCTTCCCCTGCTTTCCATAGACTTATAAGCAACAACTCCACCCACTCGACAAAGTCTTGGATGGAGCACTCTTGTTAAGCTCATGCTAAAGACTTACAAAGGAATAAAACCCTTTTACCATGACTCGATAAAGTCCTCTAGGTAAGGAATCATTCTGGATTTATAGCTATCAAAGAACTCATACTGTTCCCTCACCTATATACACAGATATGCATACAACATCAGATCAAACATACCTAAACTCATCATGTAATTACATCATATCACAATTTAAGTTTTTTTTTTCTTACATTTAAGGATTTTAACGTATAACTCCCACAAATTTTGCACCAAAATAATATAGACAACAACAACAATAAAATAAAACAACAACAAAACAACATAAAATGAAAACAGGAATAACATCGTTTTGAAGATTCCACCACCAGAGCAGTACTCAAAGATATATTTTTATAAAATAAAATAATGGTCATAAAATTATGAAATTAAATATACTTAACATATACATACAATCACAATTATGATACAAGTTTTATCTAAAAAAATTCAATATCGATTTTATATGATTTTTTGAAGTTGTTGAGCGGACATAGCAACTTTGTTTCACCCAACTCAAAACCTACTCACTTCCAAGATTTTTCATGAAAAAACTACTTGTTAAAATTTTTTGAAATAAATCACACACGAACTAGACATATAAAGAAACATATAATCAAAATTTCAAAATAAAAAACCATGTATATATTTTTATATAATTTTCCAAAGATTCTGTTTACATGCAGATTTTTCCAGACAACTTCTCAACACATTTTTCATCATCTTCCTCTAGAAAAATCCAACTTAAGTGATTTTTATGGCTAACTCAAGTGAACCAATTACTATCTTCATAATTTTCTCCATTGTCATAAGTTTTATTCTTCTTATATTTTTTTTATTTCAACTACTTCTTTTATTACAATTCTTAATGAATAAAGCACATGATCATTCTAGATGACAATCAGTAATTATTAATGAAATAAACTCTTGAATATAATAGTAGAGAATTAGTTCATCTTCCATCTAATAAAAAGACAATTGAATGTTGTTGGGTTTATACTATTAAAGTTGGATCCCAAGTTGATTGTCTTAATGTTAGATTTGTAGCCAAAGGGTTAAATTTATGATCTTAACTATGGTGATATTTTTTCTTTTATGGTCAACATAATTATTGTTCACCTCTTTTGTTGCCATGATGACTATTCATCATTGATCCCTTTATCAATTAAATGTTAAAAATATGTTTCTTCATGATAATCTAGAGAAGAAGGTCTACATGAACAAACATCTTAGATTTTTACTTAGGGAGAGTCTAATTTGGTTTGTAAATCGCGTTGCTCACTCTATAGTCTCAAACAATCTCAAAAAACTTAGTTTGAAAATTCTAGTTACATTGTTCAAATTTTTGGGCTAAAACACAATGAGGTAGATCATTTAATTTTGTTATTACCATACTTCTCTTAAAAAATATGTTTACTTAATTATGTACGTTGATGACATAATTATCATAGGAAATGATGTTTCTAAAATCTCACAACTAAAGGAATATTATGCCATCACTTCCAAATCCAAGATATTGGTTGTGTCAAATCCTTTTTTAGACATTAAAGTGACTTCATCAAAGGAAGGAATTGTAATTTTTCAAAGAAAATACCCTCTAGATATTTTAAAAGAGACATGTATGATTGATTCTAAACTAGTAAATAGTCTTATTGATCTAAATAACAAAATTAATGGTTGAATCAAGTGAACATTTCTTTGACCTAGAAACATATGAAAGACTTATTAAAAAACTTGTTTATCTTACTCCTATTGGACTTGATATATCCTTTGTAGTTGCTATTGTCAGTTAGTTTATGCAAAATCCTTGTGTTAATCATAAGAATGATGTCATTTGTATCCTATAAGATAAGCTTTGTTATATGAAGATAAAAGGAATATCCATATCTCTAGGTATTATGATGATAGGATAAGATCTCTTATATGTAGATGCACCATTATAGGATTTCATTCAAAATAATATTATTTCTTGGAAAAACAAGAAATAGAATGTAATAGTATGATTAAATGTTAAAGTTAAATATAAGATAATGACATCTTCCACTTATGACCTTATGTGAGTAAAACAATTCCTCCAAAGAAAGATATATTGTGATAATCAAACAACTTTCCATATTATCTTCAAATATAGGATAATAACTACACACGTAACAATTGACTTCAATTTCATTTGAGAAAAGTTATGATCTAAGAAAATTTAAAATTGATTTGTCAAATATAGTAATCAACTTGCAAATGTTCTAAACTTTGTATATACAAAATATATGCTTTAGTTTAAGAGGAGTATTAGAATAACCATAGATTAGGATTTGTTAGGTGGTTCATGAATTTGTACTATTTTTACTTTATTTGCACTTTTTTCTCTTATTGATTACATCACTCTTTTTTTCACATAAAAAAACATATATATATATATATATATATATATATATATATATATATATGAGGAGAGAGAAAAAAATACATATCAACATTAACCATGTCTATTTCAATAATTTGAGTAATTTTTCTTTTAAAATATATTATTTTTAAGATTATTTTTTAAATTAAAGTTTTTTTTTAATAATATGTACTTTATATAATTATAAAAAAATTCTTAATAAAATTATATACTTTTATAAACTATTTGAGTTTAAATTAATAAAATAATATCACAGGAAAAATATATATTTGATTTTCATAAATTTTTATATATTTATACCTCCTACTAAAATAACATTATATATATATATATATATATATATATATATATATATATATCAAAATGTTAAATAATAGAATGAATAATATTTATTAACAAGGAAATAATTTTACATAATCATATTTTTTTACATTTTATTTATTCCTCATATATTAATGACAAATAAATCATAATGAATTAGGGTAAGAGATTATATATTTCTTTCCCAAAATATTTTCTTATCACTTGTTTCTCTAAATTGAACCACTTTTCAGTATTTCCATTTTTAAACATAACATTTATAAAATATATCTCTTTGTCTCAAATATTATTTTCATATTCATATCATTCTGTGTAAAATAGTTATTAGATTATTTTCTTTATCCTTATTTACATTCTCTTAAATAGATTATAACTTTTAATTTTTCTTTATATGTTTATAAAAACATTTTGCTAACTCAATATTCTCAAATCACGATTAAAATGATTCGATATGATTTTTAAAAAGATTTTATGTCTAATAAAATATATATCATTATAAATTTAATCATAGCATTATGTATACTGTTAAAAACATGTATTAAAAAAATTTAATCTGATTCGTAATTTGGGTAATAATCATCCTAATTAATCATTTATTTTATGAAACAAGAAAATCAAGAAGAGAGAAAAGAGAAAAGATTTGATTTTTTTTTGTTTATCGATCTTACTTGAGAGGATTCTGAACCCCCTTTATATAGAGCACTACCACAACCAAGCTTCGCAATTGCAAGAGTGTGTCCCTATTGCGTTTTTTTATCTGTCTCTCTCTAAATCGTACGTTGGAGTCTCTCTCTCTTCTCTGCAAGATCCGCATCCCAAACCCTAGCAAACCCCTATCTCAGAGGGAGCTGAGAAGAACACGCACCGTTCTTCCCGCGCCTCGCTTCTTCCGATCCAGGTCAAGATTAAACCTTCTACTTATCTTCTGCTTTTTTTATTTTCGAGTTCTGCTTTGTAGTGTTTTAAATAGTTTTCGCTGTGAACTTCCGAGATAGAATTTAGGTTTGAGGAATGTTGGTCTTGAATTTCGTTTTGGAAAATGAACGTGGAAATGATTTGACGGAAGTGGCTTTCCGTACTTGTTTTGGATCCACAGTGAATGTAGAATCCTTGTTTTCTTTCATTTTGTATGTTTGGTAATGTAATTTCTTTTTTAATCTTTCGGAAATCTTTTAATTTCTTGGAATCTTTTTGAGACTTTTTATTGTTTTGATCGACGAATGTATGGATCATTGACGCGTGGTTATTTGTGGTTAACCTGTAGAATTTCTTCTATTTGTTATTTTTTGGTGGGTTTGTGCGAGGATGTAAGCGTTTTGTAATTTTTTTTAATAGTCTCGCATTGTTTGCTCAGTTGCATGGATTTAAGTTTTTTTGGAAGTAATTTAATCGTCTATGTTGTATGTTAGTTTTCGATCGCTATTGCAAAAAAAAAATTAATGGTTTAGCTTTTCAATTTTTGTTTTTCTCATTGTCTTGATTTTTTTATATTCTCTTAGATTTCCTGAGATTTCAATCTTTTTGTTCCGGTCTAAATTTTGCATGTTGAATATATGATTATAACTTGGTTATTTAAATTTTTCAGTTGGATTGCTTTTGGAAACAATTATTATGGCAACTTCAGAGCAGCAAGTCCCTCCCAATGGTCCTACTGCAGATATTGTACGTCTATCTTATTTTTATTTGTGCGGGATAGTTGTTCCCAGCTATCCTTTCCACTATTGACTGATTTGAGTCAAATTACAATGTAGGTTGGTAATGCCTTTGTTGATCAATACTATCATATGCTGCATGAAAGCCCTGAACTGGTGCATAGGTTTTACCAAGATGTCAGTAAGCTTGGCCGTCCTGAACAGAATGGTATAATGGGTATTACAACCTCGATGATTGTGAGTTTTCTCTTTTACCTTCCATCCTTCACTTTTTATTTCATGTATTGCTTTACGTTTCTACATATGTTCATATATGTGATGCCCATCGATTTCTCCTAATTTTAATGCTCTTAATTTTATTGAGCAGGAGATTAACAAGAAGATACTATCACTGGGTTATGGTGAACTTAGTGCAGAGATTGTATCTGTGGATTCACAAGACTCCTATGGTGGAGGAGTCATTGTGTTAGTCACTGGGTTTATGATAGGAAAGGATGACATTAAGCGTAAATTTACTCAATGTTTCTTTCTTGCTCCCCAAGAGAAAGGCTACTTTGTTCTGAATGATGCTTTCAGATATGTTGATGAAAAGGGGCATGAAGGGCCTGCTCATGATACTGTATCTCCTGTCCATCCTGACATTGGTAGTTGCTTTAAGTTGTGATTTAATATTATTCTTTTAGTTCCTTTTGACTGTTCTCTTAAGTTGACACCCTTACCAACCTTTCAGTTGCTGATCCTTCTGTGCTGGAGACACCAGATGCAGAGCAAATGACTGTTACAGTTGAGGTTGAAGAGGCAGTCTACAATACAGAAAATAATCAGCCTTCGATTGAAGAAGAGGAAGAACCTGTTGCTGAGGTTCTTGATGAAAGTCCTGATTCTTCTCAGATGGTAACTGGAATGACATCTCCAATTGAAGATCTTCCAAAGATGTCTTATGCCTCTATTGTTAGTATCCATTCTTAAATATCTTATTTTTATGGTCATTTTCAGTTTACTTGGTTGCAGAGTAGTGTTTTTTATTTCCCTTTCTAAGTAGTGGGTCTTTTCAGGTGAAGGTCATGAAAGAGGGTGTTGTGCTGTCTTCCCCTGTGACAACGGTTTCTGTGAAATATGCTCATAAGAACCCTGAACATAAACAGGGTGCTGCTGCTGCACCTACACCACCTATATCAGAGACCAATGGTTCTAGTGTAAACACTAATGGAATCGGTAACATTCAAGAAGAAGCCGAAGGTGTGGTAACCTTGATAGATACATAATTTAATAACTCAAATTTCATCGTGTTCAACTTAGTGAGATGTATTAACTTGTTTACTTGATTTTGAACAGCTGAGGGCTATTCCATATATGTGAAGGGTCTGTCTTCAACTGCTACACCTGCCCTCTTGGAGAGTGAGTTTAAGAAGTTTGGACCTATTAAGAGTGGTGGTATCCAAGTTAGGACCCAAAAGGTACATTGCTTGTTAATTCCCTGCTTTTTCTTAGTATTAGCCACAAGTTAATATATTTTGCACATTAATCGGTTGAACAGGGATTTTCCTTTGGCTTTGTGGAGTTTGAAGTGCCAAGTGCTGTGCAACGTGCTCTTGAGGTATTTTTAATTATCTTAATAGTCGATATTGAATCTTAATTTGCTTAGCATGTCTTTGAGTGTCCTTAATAGGTTGTCATCATATTCCCATTATTTATTATCCTTCTACTCTATTAAAATCCTTTTGTTTTTGTTAATTCTTGATTTTGATTTAAAAAAATTTCCAGGTTGTCATCATTTTCCAATTCTTTGTTTTTGTTGATTCGCTAAAGATATATGTATATTTAATCTGCATTTTAATTGAAATTTCAGGCTTCTCCAATTTTGATTAATGGCCGGCACATTGTTGTTGAGGAGAAAAGATCAACTAATCGAGGCAAGTGATTTGTGATTGAATCTTGGTACGTTTGGGAATGATCCACGTGAATGAACTGAAGCATGAACTAATTTGTTTGTCCGTTCAGGTAACACCAGAGGACGGTTCATACCTGGCAGAGCTCCAGGCTACAGGGGTGATGGTGCAAGAGGCCGTGGAAATTACGGAAATGGGAGAAACTATGGCCGTGGTGACTTCAATGGCAGGGGAGACTATGGTTATCGGAATGGTAATCGGGGAGGGTTTTCAAGCCGTGGCGGTGACGGATATCAGAGAAACGATCATCATATGGGACCCCACGGTGGCCGCATGAATCGTCCAGGTGGGGCTGCTGCTAATCCACCCTTCAAACCCAATGGTGTTCGCGTTCCTGCGTCTGCTTGATCAACTCACTCCAGGACACACCCTTTTTTTGATAAGCTATTCTTAAGTTTCTTTAGGTCTTTTTTTTTTTCAATTTTTGATATTGGTGGTCTTGGTAAAGGTAGTTTTCTATTTTTTTTTTTTATTATAGTGTCTTAGTGGTAGCTCTTGTGTTTCCCCATCTTTTTATGAATATAAATATATATGTTTGGGGTAACACATTTAATTTTTTGGAAACATGTATTTGGTAGTTGCGACATGAGAGGTTGCTATCAGCATTTATTTGCGGATATGATTTTGTAAAACACTCAAGTTAGTGTTAAATATGATTTTTATTACCGATTACAGGTTGTTGTCAAGATTATTTTTCAATTAAAAGCGTTGATTTTGAAGGGTTGTTTTGGACGATTAATCAAGTTCATACTCATTTTAGCTTCATATTTAACAGCATATTATGTAATTACATATTCCTTTGGATAAGCAAACAAGCCCTTTTTTGTACATTCATATTTTACATATACGTCTTTAACCCATCCTGCAAAATACTTGACGATCAACAACAGTTGAAATTCCTCGTAAGAAATATTAATACACTTCTATGTCAACTAATTAAGCACATGAACAATTCAATTAGTAATACATTATTAAGATTGGAAAGAGAAATGTTTGTTTTGTTGTGAGAGTGCAACTGTGGGAACAGAACGCCAGAGATGTTTCCAAATAGAAAGGAGGGTCGATAATCACCAAACACGTTTGAATTGTTATGCCAAATAATCTCATGAACTTCGAAAAACTCTAAGAAACATATTTGCAAATCACCTAACAAAACTCTTTTAACGCATAGTGTTTTGATGCCTAAATTGGGCTCAATGTAAGTGGCCACTACCACCCCAAACACACCAATTTATTATACGTGTTGAACACCTGAGTATAAAATTTGTTATAATAACACAAATAATTAGGTTTAGCCTTTTAGCTCACAAGACTGAGATTAGGTTACAAAGTATAGTGTTTGGTATAGTCTCATAACAAGACGTGTATTTTTGTCTTAAATTTTAAAATATTTATGTTTGACTAGAACAACCTCCCTAGTAGATAACTTTTAGACGCAAATGCTCCTTTAATTTTGATTCGGTTTCATATATTTTGTTCATATTCAGAACCCACACTCTTTTCTGCTTGAATGTCATAGTTGTTTATACGCGTCCATAAGCCAAAAATACGCGCTTTCCCTTCTTCACTATGCTCATACCCAGCTATTGTACTCAGAATATTTTATACTAAATAACACAACATTAGCTTTATATATAAACAATTTCATACTAAATTTTAATGCTAACTTATTTTTAAAATAAAAACATTTAAATATGATGCTTCAAAATTAGATTTTTAAACTATCGCCAAACATACACTGACAATATTCATCTTACTAGATAAAACCTTTTTCCCTACCACTCTTTTATCTCATACTATTACTAATAATATGATTATCTCTTTTAATGGCTTGGAATTCAGAATGTAATATACCTTAAATATAACATGATCACTAATAATAATAATAATAATAATTAAAAGTATAATATTAGACTTTATTATGTTGAAACTCAGATAAACATGATTTTAATTAATTTTACTTTTACATGTAAACATCAGTTTTGAAGATTTGACAAAAGTTTGTGTGATTTAGATTTTGACAAAATTAATTTAAATAAAAACTGAAACAAAAAGTGAAAGGTACAACATTTAATTCAGTAATACTATTGTTCAGGATCAACTACGTCTTGCAAATAACATTATTGCATAATGTTATAAATAAATAAGAGGGGAAACATGAGTGAATTACTACACTATGTATTTTACAATTAAAAGAAGCAAGATTTTTTCTTGCAGCAGCAGGTAACTCTGTTAAACGTATAAGCATTATATATCAAACCTAAACAGCAAATAAACTGCAGAGGCACTTAACACAGCATGACCAAGTGTGAAGAAAGTTGGCCACTCAGATACCAAAATTGCATGCCTGGACGAAATCTAATTCATAGTCAACATACTTTGTCCAAAGAGGCTTGAATTGGGCCATTGCAATGTCAAGCCATGGTTTCATGTTGCCATTGAAGTGCACCACTGCTGCATTGTTAATCTCATCCATGCTGATGCTTGGATTATAGCCAAGTCCCAGAACATGCCATGACTTATCCAGTGGTTTAGTTGTTGAGTAATATGTGATCAGACCTGGTGGCAATGTCCCTAATTTCCAGAGTGTTCGGTTCTCATTCTGCAGCAGCATGAGCAGGCCACGTTAGGACATGATTAGTTAACAATGATTGGAAACTAAAGAATTGATGAGCATGATTCAATAGCATGTATAGTCATTGTTTCTATTCTAGGTTCTGAATCACTAGCATTGGATGCAATGATTAAGATCACATGGAATTTAACAGCATTAACAGGTAGCAAACAATGCCAAATGGGGTTAATAACAATCTAACACATAGGGTTCTATTGTATGTTTATTACCAGATTTAAGAATGCAAAATAATGAAGAACCATAAAGTTGAGGTAAAATGATAAGAGAATAACCAGATTCTGCCAGTAGTGATATTCTTCCGTGCATTTTTCCCTTCTCCAAGCATCTAAATCAAAGAAATTCATTCCATAAGCCCATGCACAAGCCTTTGGACTAAATTTTGCTTTGATCAAGGGGTGCGAGAAGTTCATGTACTGTGCATATCTATGGAATGACCCAAAACATGTTTCTACAGCTCCATTAACCTTGCCATCCATATCGATCTTCCATAACCCAGTAAGATCCTTCTGAACCACTATGTCATCATCCAAAAACAAAATTTTATGCAGCTTTGGGTACATTTCTGGCAAGTAGAACCTCAAATGGTTCAATATGGACAAATATTTGGGATTCCTAAACTTCATATTATTGGTGTCTTTTGTAGCATTCTCAAGCTTGTTCTCAAAGTAAAATCTCTGGAGATTAGCAGACTCCAATTGTTTAAGGACCGGCACATAAGAAGAGTTCAAGAACTTGTAATCCTCCACTGCCTTGACCTCAATGTGTGCGCCATTATAATCCTTCAACTTAAACATCACTTGCATTGCTCCAAGGTTCATCTTATCAGTCACAACATGAAACACATGCTTCCATGGCTCCTTTGCATTCTTTGTTGCTGAATTTACCACAACAGATGCTGCAACAACATTATCAGAAAATAAGGCATAGTGGTACAGGTTAGGATCTTCAAATTCTGGAGGGGTAGGTTTCCCTTCAGTTGTGTACTTCTCAGGATGAGCAATCCTCTCTTCCATCAACCTCATGGAGAGACAATGCAAACTCTTTGGAATCGACTTGGCAGCAATGAGGCTCGAGAAAGCACCCTGCTTCTTTGCCTTGGTTAGCTGCTCATTCACTGAGAAAATTGTATCCTTCAACTTCTGAATCTTGAGCTGGTTATCAAAGGATTCCTTGGCATCGCTGATCACCTGGCGTGTGGTCTTAATGCGCTCCTTCACTTCCTTCTCCAATTGGCGAAGCACTGATTCATCTACAGGGGATGCACCACTGCTGAAAAGGGTCCTGTATTGAGGTTTTTTCATCAGATCGGAAAAGTTTACCGATAGCTCTGCGAAAATCCTAACAAGCTTTGAGCTCTCGAGCTTGAGCTTGCGTGCATAGGAAGCATACACAAGAGCCAAAGAGCGATGATCATCAGCTTGCTTACGAATCTGGTCCAGACGAGGCTTGAGAGGATCTGTTTTCAGAGCTAGAATGGATCTCCTTATGGACTCAAATCCATGTGCAACACCACCCTCAGAACCCTAGTTCACCAGCACAATAACAGATAAGTAACCTAACTTCGTCAAAAAAAAATTTCTTTATCAGAAAACGAAAACAACTTAAACCATGAAACTTTTCCTCTTTCTAATAATACAAGAACAAATCAAATCAAATCAAATAAAAAAGAAACAAACACTATATGATTCCGAACAAAATTAGTTCACATCAAGCCCCAGTTCAAAAGCAAACACCAGTCTTGTTACTCAGAAAAGTAATCAATTTAAAGAAATAAACAAACTTTTTCCCTTTCCAGCAGTGACATTAACATTAAAATTTTCCCAGACTACAAAAACAAATCAAACCCAGTATGTTCCCCTAGAAAATTAGAACACTTCAAGCCCAGTTCAAAAGCACAACAGCAGAATAACTTCCTAGCTTAATTAAATCTCTGTACTTTCCCATAACAGAAAATACAAACTTTTTTCACTTCTAGTAACATTGCCATGAAAATTAGCACGACTCAAACCCTCACTGGATCCAGAGAGAATCGGATCCAACCCATTTGAACCCGTACAATAAGATCCAAAACTAACCCAACCCCACCAATTTTTTCTCCAAAATAAACTAATCCCAGCAGCAAAAAAACCAGAAATCAAGCAATTGCAATAAAAAACGAAACTTGATCCTCGGAAAAAAAACACGGAAGAGAAATCAAAGCTTGAAAAAATAAGTAAGCGAAGTAAAAGTATAAGCTTACCGTGAAGTGGGGTTGATGGGAGGAATAAGAATGGGTAGTGAAGAGAAAAGAGAGAAGGAAGAAAGTGCAGAGAGCCAAGGACATAGCAGAAGTGAAAAGTGTGAAAGTTGGGATCCTTGAACGTTGAAATCGAGGATTCACCATTTTGGTGTGAGAAAACTCGGAATCAGAGAAGAAGCAGCACTCAACTCCAGTGGACTCGCAAACTCATGCACTCAGATTTTCTCACTCTCTCTTCTTCTCAAAGAGAGACAGAAATGAAGAGTCAGATTTGACATTTTATAGTTGAATTTAACTTAAATATTCTTATACGAAAATATTAAAAAAAAAAAGCTAAACTTGTATTATTTATTTATGTAGTATTTTCTAGAAGAACATAAGTTTTTTTTACTTGTTATATTTACTGGGTGCAACAAACGTTATTGAATAAAACCGAGTTAACAGGTTTATACTATTAATATATAATTATTACAAAAAAAATGCAAGTACTTTCTTCAACAATTTGTAATAAATTACATCACATCCTCTTCCATTTTCACTTTTCACATAAAATTTCACTATTTATATTTTTAATAAAATAATGTTTACATTTATCTAACTTTTAAAAGTTAATATTCATCAATCTGATCATTTTAATACTAATTTTCCTATTTTGTTTAAAAATACTATATTAACTAAAATTTAAATAAATAATATAAAATTAAAAAATGTTACAACAAAATATTTTATTAAAAATATAAGAGATATAATTTTATTTATTAAAAAGATTATGAAGATTAATATTTATATAAAATACATAGAGTGCATAAGTATCATTTTATTTAAAATGTAAATAGAATAAATATTATTCTAAAATAAAACAAACTGTAAGTATTGTTTAATGTAAGAAAGATAAATACAATTTCTTTGTAATAATTAATAATATATAGTAATTTAAATAATACTATAAAAATATTATATTATTGATGAATATATTGATATTCAGTAAATAATAAAAAAATTATTATAAAAGTTTTTAAAGGAAAATATGAAATAAGAATTTAAAATTATTTTATTTACAAATTAAAATTAATTTATGTATAAATCAATTTTTCCAATTTTTATATAATTTAAAGAAATGACAGAAAATTGAATTGAAACAAATTATATTATATTTAATGGAAAATTAAATCAATTAAATTAAATTAATGAAAATACACTATATGTTTTAAAGACGTGGTAAGATAAAAAATCATTCATATTCTATATTATGCCGACATTGCAGTGGACTTCAACCTGTGATATCCGGTAGTGTCGGCTCCACTTTTCCACCGTCACCGTTTTGATTTCAATCCCGCGTTACTTGTTTCTCCGGTTGCCCATCTCCTATCAAATATTTCCCTTTTCTTAGTCATATAAAGTTACAATTTACGAAGTGTAATTACAAATGAAATTAAATATATATTTTTTTATTATTGATAATTTGTTTGAGTTTATTTAAAATAATAATAAAAAGTTTATGGTATGAAAAGGTAAATTTAATAAATTTCATTCCAATAAAAAGAAACATGTTATTGACAACTTTTAAAAATAGAGTAACCCTTGAAGGGATTTTATGATGTTAAAACTTTTTAATAGCTAAAATAAGATTAGTCTCAGAGTGTGAAATAATAATAATAATAATAATAATAATAATAATAATAATAATAATAATAATTTTAATATTTTTTTTCATAGATAACTAGAGTGAAGTAAGAGGAAAAAATAGACTTCAAAAATAGAAAACACAGAAATTTTTTTAAATATTTATTGGAGGTCAACTTTGTGTACAACTTGTTTAAAAATCAATAAATTTTATTCACATGCTAATATGGATTAGATATGAATGGAAGAAATAGTTGGGTAGATAAGAACCTCTTATTATACAAAATTAAATTTTCACATGTTAACATGCAATTTTTTTAAAAATATTTAAGTTATTTTTAATTTAAAAAATATTAAATAAAATATCTTTATGCATACAAATTTTAATTTTAACACAACCAGTATTTTTTTTTTTACAAAATATAATCACTAGTATTTTTGTTTTTTTAGATTTTTCATTCTTAAATTCAATGGCGTGATATATATACTTCTTCGAGAACCTGATATTAAGAAAATTTATAACAATAAGATTTTTTTTTCATTTTTTAAGTTAAAGAAATTGTTTGTTTTTGTAAGAAATTAGATTCAATTTTTGTAGCATACTGGATTCTTTTATTGTTAAAAATTGTTCCTTAAATAAAAAATATTTTTTTAAAATAAATGAGTTGATTGAAGTTTTTTTAGCTTAAAATGTCTGATTATGGGTTATATGTTTTTGTAAAGTTTTATAAAGTTAATTTTCGGCACACTACACTATCAATCTCTTTTCTTTTTTTGCTTTGGACTGTTATTTTTGACTTTTTAGTTTGGTATATTGTCACCAATTGGCATGCAAATGATTCATACCTAAAAATATATCTGAAATTCAACGTTGTTACTGGGCTCAAATGGTATGATGGGCTCGTGTATATTAGATAGCGGGCCTTACGGTCCACCCCAATCATCAGATACTTACACTGTGGGAAACCCAGAAACCCTGAAGGACTTATTTTGTAAAAAATACCAAATTAACTAGTATTTATCATCACCAACAAAATATTCACCCTTTTCTTTTCAAAACTCAGGTATATTCTATATTCTTGAAAATGATTGTTCAAAATTGACTATTTATCCTCTAGAGGTGTTTCAAAAATGTCTGTTATTCAGTAAATAACTTAACGAATGAATAATAAATCGAATCAAAGTAAAAAATAAAAAAATTTATATAAGTTATATTCTTTGTTGTCACTTAAAAAAAATCGTCAGATATCATAGGTTAGATATATATAACTATTGGTAAAAAATTATCTATATTCAAAAAAATATGTATTTTTTTTATCATCAAAAAAGAAAAATTTTTGTTGACAATGAATTGAAAAATTGTTCATACCTAAAATCATAATAATTATTGATATTAGTTTTTTCAACTTAAAATAATAATATTTTGTTACCATATAAGTAGAAGTGATATTAATTATTTAATAATTGAAATTCATTTGCTTTATAAAAATATTATATCAATAAAATAATATCATAAGATTCAACGCATTGTTTAGATGGTGAGATATCATTAAATGAAATTCCCTTTAATATTAAGGGTTGAATTTTTACTAAAAAACATTATCAATAAATATCATTAATGAGAAGACATACTTAATAATCATATAAAAAAATAAGATATTCTTTTTAACTTCAAATCTTATTATAATAAATTAAGTATTTTTTGATTTGTAATTTACTCAAGTTTTTTATTTTTAATAAAAATTTTAACTCATATTTAGATTTTTAACACTAATCAACTTCTATTTAGCAATAACTTAATGATTGAGATTATTGACAGAATGAAAAAGTGAGAAGATAACAACTAGTTCATGCACTTTGCTCTTACCCTACCTCATAATTCACATCATTTAAGTGTTTTCGATAGAACGAAATGACATCTTAACAGGTTTGATAAAGATTTTTGAAAACAACATGGTGTTGGATGCAACCACCATTTACCACTCTCACATAAGAACAGCACAGCATGTGGGAGATAGCATACTGCAGGGTCCTCACTCCTCAAACCATTATTGGCAAAAGCATGCATGTCATAATGATATGTTTCTTTTAACACTGCAAATGCTGAAGCATACAATAAGATTGCCAAGGTTGCTTCAAACTGAGTTTTCATGGCAGATTTTCTCACTTCCTTCAGTGTGTTATCTTCAATTTAGATGAATGAGGAGTTAATATAACTTGTCTTGTAAAGTTCTAGTCCTTCAATTTTTTTTTTCATTTTTTTTGTGTGTGATAAATCACTTAATAGAACAATTTTCCATTGGAAATCATAACTTTTAGAAATTATTAGTTCTGTTTGGTTAGCAGTTGCTTCTGTTCAATTAATAAAAAATGTTGCTAGAAATATTTATATAGCTTTTTAGAAATGATAATGTTTAATTTTTGCTAAAAAATTTAATTCATTAACACATTAAACGACTTGATAATAATATCATGGTATTTTTTCATAAAAAAAATATTTTAAATCGGGAAAATTAAACCAATATGTTTTTGTGAGAAACTTGATAAAAAATATTCTTCACAAACATTATTCACTAAAAATGTTATTGTTTTAAAAGGTAAATCAAACAAAAAAAAATGTTTCCTGATTTGAAATTCTCGGTAAACTAAAAGAATTTTCTTTTATCAAACATTTTCTATCATAAGTAAAATTAAGTTAAATATAAATTAAAAATCAAATTTTTGAAAAAACTGGCATTAAATTTTTACAAATTAGATTGAAAATAAACTGATTTTAATCTATAAACAAGTTAACAACATGATTGAATAAACTTGTTAACATGTTAACCTTTACTGAACTAACTTGTATAGACATGTAGCTGCATATAATCAAAACAGTAGAAATTGTCTTAGTAAGGACCAAAATGTAATGAACTTTCATTATGAAGCTTTCTTAGTTAATTAAAATCAAGAAGATGAAAAAGGAAAAGGCATTATATTGACATACAAAATATTTACTTCTCATCATCATCATCATCATCAAAGAAATGCACAATTTATGTCTTGTCCAAGTCATAAAAATATAAAAGCAAAATCTAATTTCAATGGTTACTTTTTCTGCCATGCTTGTTGCCAACATGGTGCAACCATCCAATGCCTTTGAGGGCTTTGGAGAATTTGAGAAGGTTAGGCCTCCCCATTCCTAAATTCATCTTCCCTGTTGAGAATTTCAGAGCCTGTAAGCAGCACAACTTGCCCTCCATCTCCTCTTCTTCTTCTTCCCCATCCTCACTATTCTCAACCTCACCTTTCTTCCCTTTCTTGGTGTTGCTCTTCTTCAGAACTTTGTTGGACTCTGTCTCATAAGTCTCCCAAAGCATGTCCATTCCTTCACTCCCATCTGCATTGTGCCTTTCCTCAAAAAGCTTGCAAGCCAAGGTCCTCCTCCACTCTTTCTCCACTCTCATTGAACCAAAACTACCATGATTGGAACCAAGTGCTTGACTATTCCCCATGCCTTTTCCACCGTACACCCAGTTGCTTTCAGGACTGCCAATATTTGATTCTAGTCTTTGGGATAAGGACTTCACCCTCCCTGATGCAGCAAAAGCAAACTCCCCATCACTCATAGGACTCACTTTATTGGTGTATATGTCTCTATTGCCCATCACTTTGGATCCACTTCTCAAGGGCAATTTCTCTTTACTTTCTTCAACTTTATTGAACTCAGCATTCAGTGGCTTCACTTCTTTGTGCTCCTTTTCACTAGACAAATCTTCCAACCCTTCGTTTTCTTGGAACAAGCTTTCTAGGCTCTTGACTTCTACAATTGGAATAGTGGCTTCCACTTTATTAAACTTCTCAATTGGGTTTTCATCCAAGTTTGTTTGATTCTCCACATGTATCTTCCTTTGGGGACAATCTTGTTCAAAACTCTGCCGCGCACTAAAAACAGGCAAATCTTCCAATGGAAACTTGAACTTTGGCTGTGAAAGAAAGTTTTCATCCAATTTGGCACCAGGCTTGGGATCTTCCATTGGACATGAATCTTCTCTTCCTTCAACAAAGCACTCTAAATCAACTGCTTCAAAGCCTTCTGAACATTCTTCCACCGACTTAGGCTCAAACACTTCAAAGATTGATGCTTGGAACATGACAAGATATGCTTCAACCTCACCTAGCAACCCCATTTCCTCATCCATTTCATCAGCTTTGGAGTGCAGCCATGCTAGAAAATATTGCAAGACAGAGAGAAGAATGCCCCACTTGGACTCAGAAGGCTCAGAACCACACTTCTCCTGAACAAGGCTGTCGGGAGTGAAAGTGAGAAGGGCCACAAGGAGAAGGGTTGTGGTGATGAACAAAGGGGAGAGGAAAGAGAGGAGCCTGAAGAGGTAAGGGGAGAAGAAGATGAAGTAGGAGAAGTACAAAGGGTGAGAAAAAATGGAGAAACAAACGTTGAAGAAGATGGAGAAGAGGTTACTAGATAACTCATTCTTCTTGGTGGAAGTGTCTGAGAAAGATAACTCAGTCATGTCTTGTTTTCTTTTTTCTGTGAGTTGTGACCAAAGCAGAAGAGAGGAAGAGAAGAAATGGTTTGGTTTAGTAGAAAACTAGGAATGGTGTTGTTTTGTGTGTGGATTGTGTCATGATTTTGCTTTTGGAAGTGAGCACGGCGTGAATATAGGGGAAGAGATTGGAGAGAGGGAGAGAGAGAGAGAGATTGGAGTAACTGAAGAAAGAGTAAGGAACACTTCGATTTATGAAGAAAAAGCAACTTTAGAAACTTTTCTCTCTTCTTTTCTTGTCTATAACAACCAACAACCACGTTACCCACCTCAATATCTTCTCTCTCACTAAATTGCACAAACATGTTATGAGTTTTTTCACACTGCAATATTAGATAAATTTTATATTCCTGTTAACTTGTTTTCATTCACTTTTTTCTTTCTTACAAAATCACTACGATATTAATGCCACAGATGGCTCATGTGAGTGTACTAACTGTGAATTATTGATATTTAATCACATATAGAGGATGTAATGAATTATAATCAAATGAAGCTGGACATACACAATTTGTTGTAAGAACTGGACAAAATGAAGTGGTTGAGATTTGATTCAAATATCATTAGATTAGAGATCCTGGACACAAACAAAAACAATCTTATTTACTCTAATGAAACATAAAAATAATACGCTACGTTCATAAATAATGGTCATATAAATATTACAAAAGCATCCAAAAAATAGGATAATTATTAATCTCATCACAAAAAATCACTGTACACATCTATCGTTGACTTGAGCATGAAGTGTTTTTATATCTACCTTCAAGTTCCTAACGAGTGTTGAGAACTTTAAGATAAATATCAAAAAAATCACATTGTTCGAACATAGTTCGTGTTCGGTTATGGAAGAAAAAAATATATTTTGTGTTGGTAATTTGCATTTTTTTTATTTTTAATTTATTTTTTTTCATTTTAAGTTATTTATTTTAAAATATTTTATTTAAATAATAAAGTATCTTATGATACTAATTGAAAAAAAATTCTCACAAACATCAATTAGAAAATAACTCTTATTTACATCTACGTATGAATAATTTTAATAACGTAAATCGAAAGACCATCTCTTCTATTATCTAAAAAAATCCAATATATATATGATGATGATGAAGACAAACAAAACACATTATCAATTTAATTTTAAAAAATTCTTGTTGACATCAATTGAAGAAACAATGTCTGAGTTATCTCAATCTTAGTTGAGCCGATTCAAAATCAAGCCAATGTCCTAATCGAGATTAAACTGAAGAAAATATATAATTTAAGGATAAGACATTTAAAAGATGAAAAAAATATTAAATACTTTAAATTTTTATTTTTTTAGATAAAAATTAAAATTCTTTAATTTTAGTTAATCAAATTACTATGATAAACTTCTTAGATTTCAATTTCTTTTTTAATCACTAATCCAAACAATATATTTTATTATGTAATATTTTAAACTCTTTATAAAAATAATTACTCTCTAATTTTTTTTATCGAACAATTTATTATGTTATTTATTTATTTATTTATTTATTTTGTATAACCTGATCTCTCTATTAATAACAAATTTAAATCAAGCTCCTCAATTTAAAAAAAAAAAATCTAACCATGTGATTATTTTAAAGTTTAATCAAATCCCTTAATTTTTAAGATTGCAACATTATGACTATATTTGTAGGTTGAATTTGGCACAAATAATATATAAATTGTCATTGTACCTACTTATAAATTGTATGATGGAAAAATTAAATTAATCATCAATTTTTTTATTTTTTTACTATTAATGTAAAGTAGACAAATTGTTTCATTTAAAAAAATTATGGAATTAATTTTTTTATTAATTGTGGAACCAAATAAAATAAAATAAACAAATAATAATCCTAGAAAGATAAGTATCCCATAAAATAGAAAGTGTGGTAGAGTTATTATTTTAATTAGTATTCATAATATCTAATAATATAAAAATGGTATTGAGATTTAAAAAAACAAAGGAGATAATAATTTTATAAAAAGGAAAAAAAAGTTTATTCAAACGTGGACTTGGGACATATTTGAGTAAAACATGAACTCTTTCAAAAGGGTTTGTTCATATTTATATGCAAGATTTAACAACACTTAAGGCATATCTATTTATAAAAAATAAAAGTTTGAGAAGTTAAAATATAATGATGAAGGATGAACCCTAAACTAAAGAAAAATCATATTTCACTTCGTTAGTGAAGGAGAAAGACCATAAAAAGTAAGTCAACATATCTTACTGTTTTTCTTGGTCAACAAAATATCTTACTAAAATGTTCCATGAATTATTCATTTATTTAACAACTCCTTAACAAAAACCATGATTGTTTAAACCAATAAGAGAACAAAATTATATGCAAATAAGGATTTGCAAGACTTTGTTCCATAAATATACAATTTTCAATAATTGCATGTTGAAGAATTAGGACCTTAGGGGAACCAATACACGTTACTAGTGTCTATTTTTTAATTATTATTCAAGTCCAACTCATGAAAAAATCATAACATAAAACCAATTTTTACTCTTTTAATTTTTAGTGTAAAACACCATTTATTTATTTATTAAATGTGAGAACGTTATAGATTTTAGGACTAAAATGATAGTTTGTCCTAATTCATTTCTCTATTTTTTATCATTTCGTTTTCCAATTGTTTCTTAAAAAATGAATGATTTTATAATTTATTTTATTTCTATAGTTTTTATAAATCATTGCACTCTGAAAATTGTTTATTTTAAATTAATTTAATTGATATTTTGTTTGTTAATTCATGTTCACGGTCAAATAAAATTGTAGTTGTTTTACTAGGTAAAGTTTCTCATTAAGTAAAATTGATATTTGATATTACTTTTGCTTATTAACAATTTTTTTCTATAAAAATACACGTTTTTCCAATAAATATTTATCAATTTTTTTAGTACATAAAATACGATTTATAACATTGAGTATTTAAAAATTTAATGTTTAAGAGTAGAAACATTAAAAATCATTTCTTCTAATCATATAATTAGAAATGTTTATATTTAATTTAACATTTAATTGACAGAAAAAAATTAATATAATTTTGAAATTCAGATGATTGAATTTACTTATACTTGTAAAAATTCTCTATTTTCATGAGAATATTTTTGCAAATTTTTAGTAAAAATTACAAGAAATAAATTTTTTTATAAATTTAAACAATTGTTTACAAGAAAATTAGCAGAAAACAATTAATTTTCTAGTAGTGCTAGTCGAATTCACACAATTGAAACTTTGATGTTAAAGTTTACAAAAAGTAAATTTTAACTGCAAAATGTGTAATAAAAAAATTTAAAATATTTTTTCTATTTTAATTTATATCTTTAAAGTGAATACTAATATCCTTTAGATAATACTAATAGTTGAGATGGATGATACTAATCCTTGACATGCAAAATGATATGGATTTAACATGTTATTTTTTATATTTATATTTTCACCAACATATATTGATTAATTAGTCTTTGAATTTGAATATATATATATATATATATATATATATATATATATATGAATTAATTATTTATGATTTTTTACTATAAAAAACTGTTAATAAATATTAAATTTACATAAAAAATTATAATCACATATTTAAAAAAATTAAAAGACTAGATTCATCAATTTAAAAATATAAAAGCTAAAGATAATATATATATATATATATATATATATATATATATATATGTAAATACCAAATAAAAAATCCCTTATTAACATGTTTAAAGAACTCAACCAGCGACTGATCTACTTTAAAAGTTTAGTAAATTATTTGTATTTAATAATTGGTTTGAAATAATAAATTTCGAATAGTTTTTTTAAGTCAATAATATTATTTCTATTTTTGTATTCTTTACTGTTTAGATAATATATATTTGTCCATTTCTACATGAAATATTTAATTTTTTAATTTTAAATAATCCTTTTTTGTTATTATTATTTTAAAGGTTACGAATGATTGTATTAACAATCACAATACATTATTAGACTTCCAATTATATTGATTTGAATATCATTAATTTATATAATTAGAGTATATTTATTATTATTAATATTTTGTAATTGAATACGCTTTTTTTAATATTATATAAAAATTGACGTTTAAATTGAAAGTTTGGGCAAACAAAATTTTTTCTTCATATTCTTTTTTCTGTTTAAATTCTCATATTGTATTTGTTCTTTTTGACATTATTTCTGAGAGACTTTGCTCCAGTCTGAACATATGGTGCAGTTTTTAGAAAAATAAACTAAATATCAAATTGCACAAAATTTGTGCTTTCAAAATTTTATATGCAATGATAATTATCAGGATCACTTTTTTTCAATTTGAAAATAATTTTTACATTAAAGAAAATAATATAAAGAGTAATCTACGCATAAATTTTAATTATAAATTTATGATTTTTTTTATAACATGTAAAATCTTATAATTAAATTTTATTTTATTTTTTTATTTTATAATGCATACATCAATAAATATTAAAACAAGAAGAAATATTTAGTCTATGTCTAGACTCACAGTTTTATAGTTTATAAAGAATTGAGGGTGGAAATTTGAGAAAAAAATTATATTTGTATTTTTGAAAAAAATAACTAGAATAAGATACACATCCCACTCAAATTAAAAGTAATAAGAAAATATAAAACATAATTTAATCTTGACATGAATTTCAGATGTTAGAATATTTATTTCTAATGTTAATATTATAATTTAACTCTAGTTTTATATTAATTACTATCCAAACTCGAAAGTATTTTATATATTTTTTTCTCTTAACTTATTTAAATGTGATGAAGTAAACTTCAACCATACTATTGTAATTAGTTTAAAATTAGAATAATTTCATTCTTAAAAGAATATCTATCAATAAAACCATTTTTATGTGTGACCGATTAGACATCTTAAATAATTTTTATGAATAAGTATGTTCATCTCTAATTTTGATA